GGGATGTTATTGTTTAGTCTGGGGTGGGTCCTGAGAATGTGCATTTCTAGTAAGAGCATCTGCCAGTCAGGTAGACACTTGTTTCTATGCCTTATACAGATCAATTCCTCTCTCCTGGCAGTAACAGCCTGAATTCACTTTGGTGGAAGCCTTGCTCCTCCATTAGTTCACGTCGCTTAATGTGTGGGAGAAGGGATGACAGGTAGCCCAGTAAAAGCCAAAGAAACGTAAAGAAAATCTTTCCATTTTCCCAAGAGTAGCCATGACTGCATAGCATGACTGCATGCCCTGACCAAAATGCAAAAAGCAAATATTTAAACTCCCCAAGGCAGCTGCTCTTGAGTATATCCACTCTCCTATAGGTTTCATTTTGCTTTAGGTTTCATTTTGCTTTTGCTTTGCTTCGCATTAATAAATCTGCTCTAGGGCTGGGAAGGTGGCTCAGTGGTAGAGTGCTTGCCTTGCATGCACAAGGCCCTGTGTTGGATTCCTCAGCACCACATAAGCAGAAAAGGCTGGAAGTAGTGCTGTGGCTCAGGTCGTAGAACACTAGCCTTAGGCTGAAGAGCTGAGGGACAGCACCCAGGCGGAGTTCAGGCCCCACAACCGGAAAAAAAAAATCTGCTCCAAGTGCTCCTTCTCTGTTCTTGAATTCTCTCTCCAACAAGATGAAGAATTTAGATTCAGTGAAAAATGTTGCCTTCTCTCCCCTTCCCCCAGGCTAGAGTTGGTGATGTGAACCAAGTCTGAGCTGTCAGTATTATTGGGCAGATGATCCAGAGTTCAGAGGTGTTTGGCTAGTGCTATCCTTCATTGGTGAGTTGGAGTTTTTGTGCCAATCATGGTGCTTGGGGCAGATATGCCCCTTTACTCAATTGCTTAAGCCAATAAATTCAGCTTTATTTTTAATCAAATTGTTTTTTTGTCACAGTATCAGATAGCATCCTGCTAATTCGGTTGTGATAAAAGAAAATTCCACTGGGGATTTTCTGCAGCTCAGCAGAAGAGTGCTTGCCTAGCAACACACAGGCCCTGAATTAGATTCCCAGCACTGAGAAACAAAAAAGCAAAATAATTACCTTATCAATTAGACAATTTGATATAATATGATCTACTCTAGGGTGGGATATATAGGTATTGAAGAGGTAACTTACCTTTCTTTTCTTTAGTGAATCATATCTCTGTGTGTAAGTAACTCACACAGAAATACAATTCTATACAGTACGCTCCTCCTTGCCAAGAATGAAGAAACAACAATTAAAAAAAGAAATAAAGCCGGAAAGTAGCAGATAGGTGACAAGCAATTTTATTTTGCAAAACAATCACTATACAGCAACAAATACATTTGCAAATTTGATTGAAAAAACATGAGCTAACTACAACCAGCCATTGAATAAATGCCTTCCTATGGTAACAGGCTCTAGAATTATCAGAAGAAAGAACCCCCCCTACCCCACAGATTTGTAGTGGTGTATATTGGAACCTTGGAATCCCAGCATACAGAGTATACTTTTTTGTTGATTTTTCTTTTCTTGTTGCTAAAGTTGAAGTGGACTTTTATGATGGACACTTTTTTGAGTTAGAAAACAATCTTTTTCTTGCAGAGGGACTTGATCTCAACCTACAAACTTGGGCTAAACATTCTAGGTGTAAAACAAAAACGAAAACAAAAACAAAATCGGTGTTGTTCTTTTAGCACATCTATCTTTGAAGGAATTGCCTGGCAAAGCCTTCTCAAACCATGAATCTATCTTTGTCACTTCTACCATGAATAGTTTACTTTCCTTCCTATGACATGAAAAAGAGGAGAAAAAGCATAATTGCAGCTCTGCCAACAGTCAACTCTATTTTCTTTGATAATACTGACATGAATCATTAGATTCTTCAATTGACTGGAACCTCTATGTTATATCTAGCTGGTGCCACACAGACATCTATCTTGCTTATGGGTGGGACATAGGCCCAGCACCCTGCTGGAATTCAGCAGGTGAATCCAGAGAGAGTTAGTTCCTAAATGAACATGGCCTTTGAAACTCATCAAGAGCTCGGATCTTCCCTGCATTGTTTTAAGGTATCCAATTTCCAGTTACAGGGGACCCAGAGAGACTGAGTTCACTGGAGAAGTCGGCCTTTAACTCTTCCCAGCTCTGGATTATTTATGTATTCTTAAACAGGTTCTCAAAGGCCGAAGCCAGAGAGAAACTGGCATCGATCTAGACATGGAACTTTGAAAATTCCATGTTTAGGTCAGCGTATGTGTCCCCACAAAAGTGGTGTCCAAAAAGCTTAATTTGAGTCGTTACCTTAAGAGAAGGTCAGTATAGGCTGAGCCCCAGAGACCCATAAGAAGACATTTGTAGCCATGTGTTCCTTTCTTTTTGATAACTTTATAAACAACTGCAATTTTCACATCCAAAAGAAGGGCATGGATTTGTTATAATTTTGTTATTAGTAGAAATGAATGTTTGTTTTAAGCCAAATCTATTAGCTTAGTGCTTTATATGACTTTTTTTCGGGGTATGTGTTCATAAGAAATTGAAATTTCATGTGTAAAATGTGTTTACTTGGCCTGAGCACTGTCCTTCAGCAATTCAGCTCAAGGCTAGCTCTCTACCTCTTGAGCTACAGCGTCACTTCTGGTTTTCTAGTGGTTTATTGGAGATAAGAGTCTCATGGACTTTCTTGCCCGGGCTGACTTTGAACCATGATCCTCAGATTTCAGCTTCCTGGGCTCATGACTTTCATAACAAAATGAAAACAGGTTTTAAAAATCTGTCACAGATTAAATTGGTTCTAATCATCTATTCTTTTCTTCTTTTCCTCCTAAAGAATTTAAACTACTGTCTGAGAGTATCAAAACCTATGAGAATATCATTAAGTCTCCACATATCATTCCTTATTCTTCTACTTCCTAGTGCATTTCAAGAGAAAATGATGTCTAAATTGCCAAACCAATCAAACTAAATCTCATCACAATTACTAGGTAGGAAACAGATACATCCATAATCTTAGCAGTTTCTAGGTTCTTTTTTATTCCCCAGAAATAACTGACTTACATATGCCTGTGTATATCTCCTATCTGAGAAAGAATGGTGTGTGTGGTTTGCTCTCAGTATTTCCCTTGTGGCAGTCACATTGGTTGTGATATCTATCTATTCATCAAAATGGCACCCATGTCTCTGTCTTTCCATTCCTTGGCTTTTTGTCTTAGATATTCCTTTCTTTCTTTGTTGTTCATAGTCACCATCTCATTTGTTTTCAGGAGTCAATTGGGCTCACAATATCAGAGACCTAGCAGACTCTTTGTTTTTAACTATGTCCAGCCTACAATCCCTGAGCAAGAAAAAGAACAGATGAGGTACTAAAAAGTGTCCATTTAGTTTGGTTAACTCTGTCCTGTTCAGGCCATTGGCTATGTCATTGCTTATTCATAACTAGAAGAAGAAAGATTTATAGATGGAATGAATTGATTGATTTGTGATTTCTAGATTGTATGTATGTAAAGTCAGAACTAATAAGTAATGCAAAGTCACACTCTGTTTTTTTACAGAGTGTAGTGTTGGAGTCCTGGGAAAATCTGGTTTAGATATCTGTGTCTCGAATGTTTTAGAGCAATAGATTCTCTAGCTGTCCCCTCCCCCGTCCCTGTCTTCTATTCAATGGATCTTTACTTGGGTCAAAGAAGTCAATGATCCATTAGAGAATTTAATAAACAGATACTTTTTGGAAGAATTAGAATGCATCTCAAATTAGCACTGTTAGTTTCAACTTTAGCAAATGAAAAACAAAAACATAGAAAGGTAATTAATCTTAAGATTTACTTAGGAATAAAACCCAAACTATTCTGTGATGACAAATGAGATAAATCCATGATCTTAAACCAACAATCTGTAAACCCTTTTATGTATAACTGGACTGGCCCCACAAACTTCCATATTGGTGAAAGCAAAGAAAAAATATTTTTCTAGCATCACGGGAGAGACTTGTATCTGGCACTAAAACAGTTATAGCGTTGAGTTGTTTCAGAAAGTAACTTCATGCTAAAACATTTTTGTCTTTTTTTAATGTATTTTTTTAAATAGTGAGAGAACCCTGCTAACATCTACTTTCACATACCTAAAATTGCAACACCAAAGGGTGCAGGAGACACAGATACTGTGAATAAAGAAGTGTAATATTCAAGTATATGAGGAAGTATCACAAATGGCCACAGAGAAATATATATATATTTATATCTATAATACTGTATCAAACAAATGGAAAAGGGGTATGGACACAAATCTAGCCAATCAACAGACATTCTAATCAGACATAAGTCCATCCTAATGAAAGTGCATCCCTCCTACCAGATGCACTTATGCACTGCCTCAACCACAGCTCAAATGCTTTGCAACTATTCTCTTTTTAGTTAGTTAAATAATTTATTGGATTGACATACTCTGATACAATTATCCAGGTCCCAAATGTTAATAACTTAGTTGTATCTTTCTTCCCATTTATACAAAATAACACTTTAAAAAAGCTCATTTCTTACATGCTCTTCCCTTCCTGCAATCAGACTGTGTGATTCAATTGAAACTGTAATAAGTTACAATGGGCAGTTTTCATCTTTTCACCCAGAAACAGAATTGTGACATGAGCAGCTTTGATTTTAACAAGGCCTTTCAGAATGTAGTGGATAGCCTTCAGGCACGTGAAAGGTAAAAATGCAATTAAAAAAATAATAATAATACTCCATGCAAAACAGAGCAGAGCTAAAATAATTGTCCAATTGTACCCATGTAAAGCCAGTGTGTTCTTGTTGCAAATGGAAATCAGGTCAATTTCTGCATATACTATTTATTTTTTAAAATATAAAATTGTAACAATTACTACAGTTGGGGGAATGAGATTTATTTATCTTATGGTTTGTAAAGAATGAATATAATACCTGCTCAGAGCCCACTCCTGCCAAGAGCTCATGCCTAAATACTAGTATTCCAGTGCTAAATGAGAAGTATTCATAAGCCCTGCTTAGCCAGTGCAGCGGTGACATCCTCAGCCAAAGTGGCCAGCTGAGGAGATTCGAGCAGGTTGATGCTTCCGGAAGAAGAGACGTTGCTGAGCCGTCGGGGTGATGCCACGCTGGACCTCCCTGGGGACTGTGTGATGATTTCAGCCCCATGATCCACACGGGCCTTTGCATGCTCTCGGAAGTTCAACTTCTGGCTGTCAATCTGTTTCAAAGAAGAATCCATCCTCGTTAACTGCAGCATCTTCACTAGTCCCTAACTCTTCCCCTGAATCCCAGAGCTGCTATGAATGCCCTTCTTGTCAGCGCCACATCCTTCTTCCCTGTTTACTTCTGCAAGCTGGGGCTCGTTTTGGTCAACAGTATTTTCAGAATTGTATTTAAAACGTTTTCATGCTGTTGTTTCTTACCTTTACATTCCCACCGCCAGGTACGTGGTGAGCATTGTCAAGTGAACCGACTTTAGCTTGGGCCTTTTCTTTGAAATCCAGCTTTACACTCTCAATTTTCACACGTCCACCACCTTGGAGAGGAGAAAGGCTTTTAAATGTTTGGTTGACATTAAATCTTGTGTTGCTGATGACTGTCTCCCCAAATAGTTGCAGCCGACAGACTGTACTCTTACTTGCTCTACGACCCCTCTGATAGGAATCTTCCAGAATCTGCAGTCTGTATCATTTTCCCCGTCGGTCCCAAGCTATGACATCTTTCTTATACCAATATATGGATTGCTTCATGATACTAATACCCTTCATTTGGCCCATGTCTACCTTAGAAATGAGAGATACTTAGTTTTTTATTTCTAATAGAGTACACTAAAGTGGAATGAAAAATAATCGTTCTTCTTCTGCAGGGTGACTAGTCATTTTCCATGGAAATTTTAGGCTGGAACGGCACAGCAATGGGCCATACATAGTGGGTCTTTTGGAGCTGCAGATTCTGAATCCTTGGATACAATATATTTGGGAAAAAAAACTACAGCCATACTCAGCATGTACAAACATTTTTTTTCTTTTTCATTATTCCCTAAGCAATATGGCCTAACAATGATTTATTTAGCATTTATTTTTATTAAGTATTCTAAGCAATCTTTGGATAGTTTAAAATGCATGAGAGGACATTCCTAAATTATACATAAATACCATATAATTTTATATATGGGATGTGGGCATGCTTGGATTGGGGCATCTGTGGTGAGGTGGTGGTGGTTCTGAAACTAAACGATCACAAATACTGAGAAATGGTAGTTTCATTGGTAAATTCTCAACACCATATATGTCACAGAGGAAATTAATTATGGAGGTTGTTTATATCTACTAAGTATACACGTGCCCATTTTCATTAGTATATAGATTGACAGGGAAAGAATCTTAAGAAATTCTCCTGCAGATGTCTTAAAACCAATCTGACATGGACCTTGATCTGATCATACTAAGACAAAGTTTTGACCTTGCTATTTCTTTGAATGCTAGCTAGTTTGAAATTCAAGGATCTGCTGACTGTTAAGGTACCAGCACCACCCTTCAGTGTAGTTTTTCCCTATCTGTGCATGTCTTTCTTAGAGTTAGAATGTAGATTATTCTATACTAAATAGATAGCTTGTGTCTTGTGTCTCTTAGCCAGTCCTAGACCACTACTAAGTGTTGATGTCTGGAGGGCTTGTTTGCAGTTTCTAGTAGCAAAGTGCAGCTACTGTTATACTCTGGAAGCAGAATGACTTTCCTCTACCAGGGACAGTCATCCTTTAGGACCAGCGGTGCTGTTTCAGGAGGAATGTGTATGGAGTGAAGAGAGAGGGAGGGGCATCTGCCTATGCAGCCACAGGAGCCCAGTCCATCCTGATGATCAGTGAAGTGGCATATTGCAACTATAACACCCTTATATCTGGTTGATGTTGTGACCTGGCAAGAAGCTGGGTTGCACTCCTCTGCATATCTGCACCAAAGAGACTTGCTTCACTGTCATCACAAATTTCTTTCAATTGTACATGTTCTTCTGAAGGTCACTGGTGAATAATGACCCTCTGCTAGCATTGCACTTCACCACAGAATTTGATAATTTGAGAAAACCTTTGAGGGGAATCTATGAAACAAGATCTTCCAGTTTCAAACTTTTGGTGCTTTTGTGTCTATACAGCCCGCAAACAGAGAAATGTGTAGTTAAGTATTCACTGGTCTCTAACTTTGTGGCGTTTCCTCATGCAATACCTAGATATTTATGTCAATACCCAATTTCTTTATGGAAGGGTTGATATTAGATGTTAATTGGATTCCATTTTGGAGAGCATCTGTTTATTCTTAGGAAGAACTCATGCTTAGGGAAGCTATGCAGTCAGCCCTTCCTTCAAAGATGCATTATTTCATGGAGTGTTCTCCCCATATTTTATTTGGCCGGTGGGTCTCATTTGTTGATTATGATGGGATTTGCATGACTCATGATGATTTATAAACATGTAATTATCTTAGAGGCAAGATGATGTTGAGCTTTCTACTAGATACTTATCTCTTCAAAATGGCAGTCTTATTTTCTACTTTTTGGCAGCCTCTGATAAAAAAATCCTTCACTTTCTTTTCTGACTATGTATTGTTTCAAGATAATTTTGCTGAATGTCCACTGAATTATCTTTTGAAAAGAATAAAATCAAGAATGCAATACTGACCCTAAATATATTCATCAAAGGAAGCTCTCCCAAAAGCAATTCTTAAATAACCATTGGAGAAGCCTATTTGAATTCAGAGGTCTTTGGTTTTGAAGAGCTCTGCCCTCCTCAGGAACAGTAATTGTGAAGGACTATCATCTTTATCAAGTTTCAGACTAAAGTGCAGATATTTTAGTTTGTGCTTCCAAGTGTTGAATTTTTTTATTTATTTAGTTTTTCCTTTGGTACTGCATATTCTAAAGTAACTTTATGAAGAGCTTGCTTTTGTTAGGGATCAGCATGCTGATATTTCTTTATGAAATAGGCCATTTGATTCAGTTTAATAGATAAAAGAAGTAGATTTAGAAATAGATGGGAGTAGCTGGGCACCAGTGGCTCACAACTGTAATCTTAGCTACTCAGGAGGCTGAGATCTGAGGATCATGGTTCAAAGCCAGCCTGGGCAGGAAAGTCTGTGAGACTCTTATTGCCAATAAACCACTAGAAAATCAGAAGAGGCGCTATGGCTCAAGTGGTAGAGCACTGACCTTGAGCTAACATTGAGCAGGGACAGCACCCAAGCCCAGATTTCAAGCCCCATGACTGAGAGAGAGAGAGAGAGAGAGATGGGAGTCTCTGACAATAGCCTTTCATGTCAGCAAATAATATGCAGAATATTTCTAGAGCTTCCATTCAAACCTTTGGTGAGTTTGACTAGCTTAATTGTCTAGAATGAAACTGTAGCCTTTTTGTACCAGGCAGTTGACAAAATAGTACGAAGTCAATTAAGTATCTGTAGACTTCATTTTCTTTCTCTCCCTCTTTATCCTCCTCTTTCTTTCTTTCTTTCTCTCTTTCTTTCTTTCTCTTTTCTTTCTCTCTTTTTCTTTCTTTCCTTCTTTCTCTTTCCCTCCCTCCCTCCCTCCCTTCCTTCCTCCTTTCTTCCTTCCTCCCTTTCTCTCTTTCTCTCCTTCCTTCCTTCCTTCCTTTCTCTTTCTTTCTTTCTTTCTTTCCAGATTGTGGGCCTGAACTCTGGGCCTGGGTGCTGTCCCTCCGCTCTTCAGCTCAAGGCTAGCACTCTACCACTTGAGCCACAGTGCCACTTCCAGCCTTTTCTGCTTATGTGGTGCTGAGGAATTGAACCCAGGGCCTCATGCATGCAAGGCAAGCACTCTACCATTGAGCCACCTTCCCAGACCCTGTAAGCTTCATTTTTAGACAGGAGAATCATGAAGATACGGCTGTCCTAGGAATAACAGAGAAACTGGTTCTGTGATATCAGTTTTGAACCCAGTAACTGAGACTCCGCTTTTGGAACTTATAACTCCTTAACTTGCTTCATAAGCTGTGACACAATGAATCTAGAATTCCAAACATTTCAAATGTACTTGCCTATTTTAAGATGTAAAAGCACCTGTCTTTGTTTTCAACCATTAAGTGCTTAATAATTTTCTTCTGCTTGTAGGTTTTATTCAGCAAAATTATTTTTATACTTTATTTCTGACAACATTTGATGCACTGATTAATGGAAATAATATATTAATTGATTTATATTTTAAGATACCAAGAATAGATGGTTAAAACCAAATGGCTTTGCCATTGTATATTTCAATGAGATATATAAATTGTATAAAAATGTTCTCAATATACAGTTACAGAATAAAAAATACATATTGCTACATATGTAATCTATTACATATTTATGAGAGTGAAACTATAGAGATACAGATATATAGACATATGTCTCTATATATAGATTTATAGAGAGATATAGATAGATATAGCTATTTTAGCTATATATGAAAAAAATTGAGAAAGTATTCCTTTATGCTGAGGACTTTCAGTGCTTATGGATAAAGATAGATTGAATAAAGAATCTGAGAAGTTCATTAAATGAACTTCAGCTATGCTAAATGCAATTTTGTTTGTTTGTTTTTGTCAAAATCCTGGGGCTTGAACTCAGGATCTGGACGCTGTCCCTGAGCTTTGTCATTCAAGGCTAGTGCTCTACTCCTTGAGCCACAGCCATATTTCCAGCTTTTCTTGGTAGTTAATTGGAGATAAGAGCCTTATGGACTTTCTTGCCCAGGCCTGTTTCAAACAGTAAGTCTCAGATCTCAAGTCTCCTGAGTAGCTAGGATTATAGGTGTGAGCCACTGGAGCCTAGATAGTAGTTCTTAGTTTAAATAATATAGAAAAGTAATTTAATGAAAATATTTTGAAATACTGCTTTCAGTAAATGTTCGGAATGGGTGCAAGACCAAACATATTTTACAGGAAAGAACTCCACTAAGTATGATGAGTAATAGAGACACTTGCAACTTGGATAAATTTTAATTATTAACCTGTCATACGCATACAGCCTGGTCACAGAAATTGCATTTTTTGTTCTAAATGAAGATGCTTTGACATTTGTAACTTAAGTTTACATTTACAAAAAGACGAAATATCAAGAATTTTAAACATCTCCTCAGTTAGGTATTCTATAATAACACAAAACAACAAAATCTTCTTATTAATTTCTTAAATCCAGTGAAATATTTCTACCAAAAAGTATTCATTAAATATTACTACCAAAAAGTATTAGTTTACCTGGCCTGTGACGGATATTCTTCAGAGAACCACATTTGGATGTCACATGGCTTAAATCTATCTTCTTGGTAACAATTTGTACCTGCATAAACCACACAGAAACACTTAAAATGTTTTAGACAAGGAAAACACTCAGATCACATCAAAATCTAGAAACACATCCACACTAACAACACACAATGATATATTCTGAAATCCTAACTGAAGCACTCATGTTCATGTGTACACACACACACACACGCACACACATACATGCACACACACACACACACACACACACACACCCCACAAGCCTAATTGCCCAAATTCTCTTCCCATCGTATCAGAAGGAACCCAAGTGATTGAAAATCCTGGAATAGAAGATTTTATTAGTAGAAAGCAAGTCAGACCACAAGAGCACAGGAACATTTATATTAATAAGGCAAGCTTCTACTCAGAGAACCAAGGCACACCAAGGTAAATCTTTCTATAAGCAAAGAGCCAAGAGTAGTAGTGGATTATCCTTTACAAAGTGAGTTTTACACAGAAGTGGCTGACACTGCTCTAGTTACAAGATGATCAACACTGCCTTCAGACAGAAGAAGAAAGTTCGAAATGTGCTTTCCGAAAAGATTAACTTGTCCTTTCTTGGCTAAATGGATTTTTTTCCTTGCACACCAACTAATAAAGTGAGAGCATTTTGCTTCATTTTTACATTCTGTTGAAAATGTTTTCTGTCCCAGTATTTGAAGCCGTCCTTTTACAACGTGGCCCACCTGCTCTCTACCTGTGGTATACACATGAACTCCTCAGACCCCGAGGGCCCCCAGTTACTGTATTTAAATGAACTATTTTTATTAGAAGAAAGTTTTTTCAAGGCTGGAAGTGTCCTATTAATTTCAAGATACTTTTTAATCCCAACTTATCCTTTGCACTGTGATCAACAACATCTGCAGCACAGGATAGCACAAGCCACGCTCTGATGCCTTCGAGGGAATTACCTGGACTGGGGCTGCTTCTGTGCTATGCTCTTACAGTCAGGGCACCCTGAGCAAAGCAATCATGTGAATGAATACTGACCCTGAGGCCTAACCCAGAATCTTAACGGAGTCCCTCAAATACTAGAATGGATTTCCCACCACAAAGACATTTTTATGCTTAGTGAAGCTGCTTTATCATCTGACAGCCCCTGTAGAAGGTGCTTGCTTATCTCATTTTCCTCAGGGATTAACTCCATTTCTGCCCTGCTGAGGAACAAATAGCCAAGACATGTTGAACTATTGATGGCTCTGTAAGTTAAAGGGTAAGAAGCCTGATAAGTTACTTGAGGCACAGAGCAGCTGAACATAAACTTTTGATGAGAGAGTCTGTAGAACCGTCACACATTTGACCCTTAAAGAATCATTTTAGGAAGAAGCATGCTTTCTTTAGCATGAGTTTGTTGACTACTTTAGCTTCTCTTCCAGCATGGTGGAGGCAGGAGAGGTATGGACTCACCATTCACTTCCACTCAGAGGATATTATTTTCACTACATGGAAGACACAGGAATAAGCCCGTCAAGACAAAATGTAAACTAGGACTTTAAACATTTTACTTTAAATTATAGATGAGCTCCACTTCACTCATTTTGCATTATTCTAAACGATACCCCAACTTTCATGAATAATGAACCACTGGAGACTGGCATTACACACTTTGTGCATTTTCAAGTATCAGAACCTTCGCCTCTAGGGTAATTTAAATGGAGCTAGAAAAGTGAGTCCAGCAAACTACTCAGGGGAGATAAGAGCGAGCACAAGAAATACCTTGAAGACAAAAAGGACAGCAGACAAAGTTGGCAAGAGAAATGGGTTTGCCATCCTTAGTAAAGGACTGATGCTTTCCGACTATGTTTTCTTTCCCACGTGAAAGTGGGAACTTTGCTGATCATCTTAGAGGAAAGGATGGGAAGCCCATGGCAAGAATGCAAGGCTGAGAGCTACCACACCAAGTGACATGGAGCAGCAGTGAGAGGCAGGAGTGTGCTGGGAGAAAGGCAGAGGAAGAGACAAGGTGCCAGCTATGCAGGTGGCTCCAACGCAATCAGGACAGAAGCTGTCTACTTACATTTCCTCCCCCAGCAGAATGTTTGATGTTATCCTTGGAACCACATCTTGACTGAACTTTGCTAAAATCGATCTTCTTGTTTAAAATACTAACCTAAAAGGAATTGGAGGTAACTTCACTGTGCATCTGTTCTTTCAAGATAGTGGGTATAAGAACCAGAATTGGGAGCACCAAAGGCCTCCTTAACCTACTGCATATTCATTTATGAAAAGGAATTCACACTGGAACAGAAACACATTTATATTGTGTAAATATGAGTCCCTATTTCCCAGTACCCCAAGGACCAAATGTTCAAAAGCATTAAGTATCCCTGTGATATGCCCGAAGGAGTAGAAAAATAAAAGGCGAATTATCTGTGTTAAAAAAAGGCTGGCAACGTTGGGATTCGGGTCCACTCGAGGGAACACTCAACAGTATAGTTTAGTATTGTTCAGGATTACAACCCTGAATAATACACCAGTTTTCCTCGCAGCCCCACAGCAAAAAAAAAACATCTATCATAATTATGAATCACATCACAAGCTTGACGGTTCTATTAGTCTACATTGAGCTTTCAAGGTCAAGCTTCCCATTCATCCAAGGGAAGAAATTTCGGGACCTCAAAAAGGTAAAAAAAAAAAAGATACTCTAAGTCTGCTCTGCTAAAAGATCACATGGTTCCCTTGCAGGTTTGGCTCTGTGAGGGAAAAGGCCTTTCTCTGGAGATGTTTCTAGATGCTACTGGTGAAGCATTCTATTCATTTTTAGAAAAACTAAAGATGGTTAGTTGGCTTCTACTAAGTCATGCAGATATAGTCTAGGCCTTGGTTGAATCTAGCAGATTTAAAGTTTGGTTCAATTTCTATTTTAAGGAAGTCAAGCATTCATTTTGAAGACAACAGCACACCCAGATTTGTAAAAATACATTACTCTAGTGTAATGTACTGCACAAAGTCATAACTCTTTCATGATTTTTTTCATGTATCTTTCAAAGTTGCTATGCCTTGAAGGACAAACAATGTAAGCATAGAAAAAGATTTATTTTTTGTTGCTATTATTTGTTTTGCTTTATGGTAGTGATGCCTCCTCTCCTTCATTGCTAAAAAGAAATCTATCGCCATTGCTTTAAATGACAACTTCTCCTCTTAGGTAAAAAAAAAAATTAAATTAATTTACCCTATATATACGGCCTTTTCAAGAATGTTAACACATCACTTGGTATTTGCCAGAAAGAATTTAAAATCTACAAGGACATTGTATAGTGAGTATTTTTAACTAGCCAAAGCTTAAATCACAGTGCCTTTCTAACATGAACAAGACAGCTTGTCCCCAACTGAGAAATATCATTGACAGCTTTCCTTAGAAGCCCAAGGCCTCTTGTCAAAATTAGAATTCAGAGACATGATGACTAGGCCACTCTCTAAGATGGAACAAAAATTTCAACTTAAAAGGACTTAAGGATATTACAGTAAGTATTGTTGTGCTGTAAGAATTTAATATATGTGTGGATGAAGGTAAGTTTTAAAATCATATAGAAAAAAAAAAACCCATAAGTTATTTTCAGAAAGTGAGTAATGCTGGTTTATTATGTCTGCTAACAATAAAATTATTTTCTATAGTACATAATCATTGTGTCAATGAATAGAATTTATGTAAGCCATTTAATTAATCATTGAGAATAAAAAGTATTTGGTTTATGCATTTATGAATTTCAGGGTAGAGATCATTACAGTACCAATCAAGTGACTTATTACCAAGTGATCAAAAGCCAAATTTTGAGTCTAATTCACTTATTAAAACAAATGGAAATTTAAGTTTTGAAAGTCTGTTTGACCTTAATATTTAATTGGCTGTCTCATAATTTTTGTTTCCCCAAACAAATGATTCAGTTCCAAAGGGTCATGCTTCTACCATTGTTTAGAGATGATCTAGAATCTTAAAAATACTAAAACATAAAAGCTAGCTTCTGTGGATTTGCTCTTGATTTTCTAAGGAGTTGTTCGCCTCCCAGTAAAACAATTAGCTGGCTTTTTTGACTGTTGACTTCCTCAACCTTTGTCTCAACCTCAATGTACATTAGCGGCATATTCCTTCCATACTCCCATACTCTAATAGCTTCATACTATCATCTTTATATCTGCAATGAGGCAAAGTATGATAAAATGAGTATCAATGGTTCTCCAGACCGTCATCCTGCAATTTCTTAGAGGCTGAGTAAAGAGAAACAAAGCCACTTTGAGGATACTGATACATATCAAGGTTTATATCAAGCTGGACCACTTAACTGCTGAGTACTTGCTAGTCAGTCCTGGTGACTCAAGTTTGTATCTTAACAAAACTACAAACTGCTTCATGTCCAAGGTCTCTATAGTCATTTACAAATAGCATCTTAAAAAGAATTAATTAGCCAGGCATTAGTGGTTCATGCCTGTAATCCTAGCTACTCAGAAGGCTGAGATCTGAGGATTGTGGTTCAAATCCAGCCTGGGAGGAAAGTCCATGAGACTCTTATCTCCAATAAACCACCAGAAAACTGGAAGTGCTGCTGTGAAGCTCAGGAACAGCAACCAGGCTGAGAATTCAAGCCCCATGACAAAAAAAGAAAAAGAAAAGAAAAGAAAAAATTAATTATACCAATACCAGCTGTCCTCAAAATCATTACAGAATATTGAAGACTTGATGGCAGCCTATAACAGACAGAGCTATATTCCAGATTCTCCCCTTTAAAATTAAAGAGTTGAATTATAACTAGATTTTACTAATAGTTCTAAACTGCTTGAGAAGCAATTTTCACTCTGAAGAAAAATTCTGCATTCCTAAAAGGTAGCTTAAGAAAAAAAGTCATTTTAAGGTCACAGACTCTTTAGAAAAAAAATGGTTAAAATTTTCTATTAGATAAACTAATTTTTTGAAGTTCATCATATACAAGGAAAAATTTGAATATCCATCATCCAAGTCTATCTCTAAGGCATGCTTTCATTTTTTAAAATTTATTTAACCAAGATATACCAACAATA